AATAAGTCACTTTTTTAACCATCATGACAGCTCTCTAGGCCGTCATGTAAATGCCGCGTCACGCAAAAGCTTAGAAATTCAAGCGTAGTGTATCACAAAACCAATAACCCATTCGGAGCGAAAATTTGTATAAATATTAGTTTTCAGCTGCTCTTATACATGATTACAGTGAAATCTCAGCAAGATCAATAGTTTGGTGGTTCGAATTTTAGTGACGTCATGTGAAAACCAGCTATAGGGTAAATTAAATACAGTAGAACCCAGGCCCCGCCTTACGACCACCCCGTTAATACGGTTACCTCGTTATTACGGCCACTTTATTCTGGCCCGAAAAAAAGCTCAGTCAGTCATTTCTTATTTAAAGAACCCCTTTAATACGGCCAACCCCTTAATACGGCTAGATGTTTGTGGCCCTTTGGTGACCAGATTAACGGGTCCCACTGTAGATTAGATAACACACACTTTCAACGGGGATATAATAGACGTATAGAGGTGCAACTGATCAAATTCCCCCTGATTCCAACGCTTGCATGTTTTCGTCTTTGCAAACCACAGTACTTATCACTGAACAGGGATCTCTCCGCATCCTTTACGATGTAGGACTATCTTTAACCCAACAATGTTTAAAAAAGGAGAGCATGGTGCTAATTTCTTTGCATTTCGATTTCCAGGGGTATTGTTAATCGTGGAATTTTATTTTATCTGTGTTTTTCAGCCAGCCCCTTACCCGCCTATTGAACCCCGTTACGACACGTGGCAACCTCGAGGTAATAATTACTTTTAAAAAACAGAGAGAGCTTTGAAATATAATTAAATCTTTTTTCTGGAATTTTGTTTTTTCTGGCTCTAATTTTCTTGGCAATACTGGAAAACTTTACTTACTGTACGGCCTTTATGATTCCTCTGCCCAGGATAACATAAGCGCATTTTGACTAAAGAGGACAGTATTGAGCAAGGAGATTATTACAAAGCCTGTGTCTCCTTTAATAACGCTACCTGTGTTATTTTTTTTATCTAGGTGTATTTCAGTGATACGTCTTATTTTAATCTTTTGCTTGATTTTCTTTGTAGAGAGAAGAAATAGCATGGGATTAACTGACGATGAAATAGTTAACGTGAGTAACACCAGACATTTGAGGTCTTGTAATTACTGTCTGACAGCAATGCCATCTCCCCTAAAGAGAAAAACATTCTGTAAGAAAAATGATTTCCAGAGCGACTTTTGAGGCAGTTGTTTTGTCACTTTGCACTCGTTTTCGCTGTTGAGGGACTCCAAAAAGAGGATCTCATTTTATCTTTACCCTCGCTCTTCGGCACACGGTTTCGCGGTCTCTGATTGGCCAGTTAATGCAGCTACTCATTTTACACGGCCTGCGAGCAGGCCCAACTTTTAGTCACACGCGCGAGGTTTCTCGCTGCTCGTGCGCGTGCTCCTCACACGTGAGCCTGCTCTCAGGCTATCAATACAAGTGAAAGAAGTCACGTTCTGAATGTTTAGTACAGAGAGGTTACGTTGTTTGGTGTCTATTCCATACCATTGGTTTTGTTCCAAACACTTTTTTCTTTACAGCTGGTTCATGAGATGATGAGTGAAGCAAGTTCATCCCCAGGCCTCAGCACTCCTGGCGGCAGTGCAGACTCACCTTACTATGGAATGAATCCGTTCTTCCCGTGATGCTCCTGTTCATTCCAATGCACGCCGGAGTCTTTTAGTCTTTTACTCTTTTCTAGTTCACAATTACAAAACTGAAAACCGACTTTTGTTTTTTGTAAATTTTTTAATAAAATTGATACTAAGTATGTTTTATAAGTAAACTTAAAAAGTTGCTAACGGAACCAAGCATTTACGGCCTCTGTGGGCGCCATTTAGTAACAAAGACCTGGTTAGATGACTTGTAGAAATGTTTTATGGGCAATAAAAATGGAACTTGGACCTTGTTGTCTAATCACTCTGCAGTGAAACGGAAATAAAATAATTTTCAACTTAGTACAAGTAAGAAAACACCAGTCGTATAGGAGGGGGCATCTAGTTTATTGAGCATAAACAGTCCTAAAACAAAATTTCCAGAATGAAGTGGTCAAAACCAGAGATGCTGTCGACGGACAAACTAAATAATATTCACTTGTTAGCATAATTACGTAACCTGCAAACCAACGAATGTACATACCGGCACTCAACTATCTTACCCTAATAACGTGAAAAATTATATTAAATCTCATTTTATCTTAGGACTATTCGATCTTTGTATAGTTTATAGCGAAGTCTTGGGAACCTCAATAGGAACAAAGTTTTGGCGGGGAAATGACCTTGTGGCTTGTCTCTTGTGAAGCCCTTCTTGTCCTCCTCCCCACCTCTTCGGGGCGGGGGGGGGGGGGGGGGGGGGTGGGGGACTCGGCCCCCTCTTTCTGAATTTTCTGGATCCGCCCCTGATAATTACTGAACTAGGGTCTCGTCCACAGCTATTATACTTTCGTAAATGCTTTCTGTCACACAAGTTTTCAGAGNGGGAAGAGGTAGGAGAAGCTTACGTGACGTTCGAAACTATAAAGGCCCGCGACTAATCGAAGCCCGCAAAAAGATGACGTGACCGCAAAGATGCGTGACACCTTTTTCGACTGAGTGGTTCGTTGCCCCGTTTCAGACCATGTGATGATACTCTTGAGAATTCTTCCTTTCAAATTTTGAAATAGTCGTGTGCATATGAATAACTAATTTTTAGATGGTAAAAGAAAAATTCTCTAGAGAATATCACGTGGTCTGTGATGGGAAAACAAACCGCCCAAGCGAAAAAGGTTTATTGGACCGCACATGATCAGCAGGACTGGAAGTGATTGCTGCAAACGATAACGCCAAAAATTAGGAATGGCGTGGTCTCCATGAATTGTCTCAGATGTATGATTTTTTAAATTATCGTAAGTGAAGAAAAGTTAAGCACTTCAGGCATAAAAAACAATAATAAAAAATGGTAACACAAATCGCAAAATAACAAAATTAACATGTGACTGTACAAATAGTTCCTTTAAATTTAGAAAACGAACCACAAAAACAAACATTAATCTTCGACAAGAGATTATCAAGGTAAGAGAGTGAATCCCCCATACAGGTCCTCTAACTGAGGTAATCCCTCTCAAGTTATTTTTAGACATGGTACCCAGTTCTTCCGAGGATGTTACTCGCGCGATGCCTGGACAGCCGAAGCAATTTTCTCATAGACGAAATGGCGGGAACGTCATTTTGTATGTTTTGATTTCGTTCCAGGGTAGAGATGTTTTTCTGCCCTTAAAGCCGTCTTTTTCTTCGGCCGGCTTTCGTTTGTTTTGTGCTCGTTTGGCTGTTCATTATTTGGCTGTTTATTCGGTTTTAGGAAGTTTAATTAAGCAAACTTTAACGGCAACGAGTACAATGGCTGTGTAAGCGTGCGTGATAATTCTTTGTTCATTTCATTGCCGTTGTTTACAAAAGGTCACAAAACAACAACGTGAAATAGCGGTATTCTGGATATTCGAGAGAACGTGAACTATACGACGGCCAATTTTTAAAATTTCTTTTTCGAATTTTGACGCTGTCTTACATATTCTGTTTGGAATATTTCTGGGAAAGATTTTCGTATGACCCCATACATTTATTATGCATGCAGAATGATTAATTATGTATGCGCTCTATTGTTTTTGAATATACATTGATAATTACTACTTACTGTGTGAATAAAAGAGGATTTAATTGCGCGCTGTCGCGCGCTATCGCGCGTTGTCTTTTCGCCGATTTTCTTCTTCCCCTAACTCCATTCTTCTCTCTTTTTCTTCTCCATATTACCCAGGCTCCTTACGCATTTTTTCCCCTTTCTCTTGTACCCCATCAGGTCTCGAACCACTTACCTTTCGCTTACCTCTCGCTTACCAGTCTCTCTTCTACACCACTACACTAAGAGGTTCAGTTGAGAATTACCCCTCCAAAATAATTTTTATTTTACTTGAGTCGTTGGCATTCCAAAAAATTAACATTACAATTTACTTATTCATGTGTTTAACGCATGTTGCACGCTGCACGAAAACATGCATCGCATGTGTGGGTCCCTGATGAATAAAGGGGTGAGGGGTGGGGTGGGGATGATTTCTTTCTTTCTCCCAATCGCTTCTACTTCAGCAGTACTGTTAATAATCTAGTTATATCAATGTCTTCAATGAACTTTTTTAAACTCTGCCGCGAAACCAAAGCCTGCTTCCTTGTTCCGGTAGGGAAAAGTGATAAAGACACACTCTTACCCATCATACGCGCCCACATATTGCCGGGGACACGCGTGATGAGCGACATGTGGAAAGCTTGCGACTGCCTAAAACACGAGGGCTATAGTCATCTCACAGTCAACCACAACCTAAACTTCGTAGACCCAGACACAGGTGCGCACACCCAGCACATTGAAAATACATGGTGGGGAGTCAAACGAAGTGTGCCTCGTAGCGGAACATCCAAAGATCTCTTCGAAAGCTATCTACAGGAATGGTTGTGGCATCAGCACTATGGAGATGATCCTTTTGGAAACATTAATTATCAAGCATATCGCCGACTTATACGAAGTGCGCAAAGATACGTAAATTGTTCCTCGTACCACTGTATGCACTGTTCGTGATCTGATCGCCACTTCATGGAGGAAAGAAACAAAATATACAGCTTCATCGCATGGGTCTGAATTCGAGGAAGGAAATCAAGGGGAAAAAAACGCGGAGAAACGCGAGAGGTAAGCAAGAATTTTATTTCACTTTGTTTACATTTACAAAATTAGTATAATAGTCGCTTACCCGCGCAACAGATTATAGCTAACCGCAAGCAACCGGCTTTGCTTAAACTAGCGCACAGGTCTAAATCGCTATTATTTTTAGCAGTTTTAAGCCTGCGCTCAATTAAAAAATACGGTAAATGTGCCCAAAATTATGATATTTCGTTTCGGTTTCCGTAATTTGGACCTAAAACTCGAAAATTATTTTAAGTCTCCAAGAAATCGTTCCGTTTTTGCATATTTTAGATAGAAAAAGTCTAAAAGTATGCGACACTCAGAAAACAAATGGCAAAATTTAGAGTTATTCAAATCAGGGAAGTCTCAAAGGAGCGCCATTGTTTTCGCTATTGTTTTCGCTATTGTTTAGTTAGAACTGTATGCATAATAAATGTATGGGGTTACAGCGACGTTTCCCTTGACGTCACGCCTAGGTCACGTGGGGTTGTTTATTTCCGTGGTTGGCAAAAACACGCCGTGGCTTGATGTCTCTTTCTAAATTTACCGCCTAAGAAAAGGGTTCGTGGAGAGAATACCGGTGAGCTGCTGCTGAGAAATTGTACAAATCGGTTCACAAATGCATCGGGAATAATTTTTTTTATATTTCCTGAAAGTGAACCAAAGCGGACCACTTGGATGAATGCAGTTCGTAGGAAGGATTGGACGCCGTCCGAATTCCCGGCGTTTCGATTAAATACGTGTACAGATCCCCAAATTGACGTCAGTTTTTCATGCGTCTGTCCTGTTATTGACAATGAATTTCGTTCAGCATTGTCAAAGTAGTCTACAAAGCTCATGATCAGTAACAGGACAGACGCATGAAAAACTGACGTCAATTTGGTAACCTGCAGGTGGCGTAGTGCGCGCGCAAAACAAGTGCCAGAGACGCAAATGTTTCACTGACTTACTGGGCAAGTGACAGAAAAAAATGTAACTCATCTAACTTTAAAAAACGCGTACCCCGTACTTTTTATGTTATGAAATGGAAGGGCAAGCCTATTTAACAGGTGATTAGTTTTTAGTTTTGAGGAAAAGCCTGCTATTCAGACTGAATTCTTGGCCAAACCAGAAAGCTGTCACGGACGCTAAAAGTGCTGTTGCGACGATTTTGTTACCAAAATTGGTTCTTATGTTACCATTTACCATGTACTTTAAAGATCTTTGTAAATATGGTTAGTTTTCTGTACTTAAAGGCGAATTCTAAGGAAATCTGTAAGGAAATAAATTTTCTTCTTTTACAGAAAAATGCTGACGTCAGCATTTTTATTCGAGATTCAAGGCTAATTATCTCGGAAAAATGCTTAGCTACCCTCAGTTTTCTTTGTGGATTCCAATAGCCCTTGTTAAGATCTACTTTTTCCATAAGGTCCTAATTTGGTGAAAAGACCTTTGCATTTATAAAAATGATGCAAGTATACTGAAGAACAAGACGCAAACGATGGCCGTGTAGTAATGGGGAAGATGAAACGGTATTACATCAGCGAAGTAACGTAAACGAGTTTTTTTTAGCAGGAGGAAAAACTTCCTACCGAAACGCTCGACAAGTTAATCGCTGAATTAAAAAGAACCTTGGCAAAGAGCTGCAATTTATATGACTTTTCTACGGTTTTTACACGATACTCTCATCTGCGTTCGACCGGTCTTGGGATAAAACATGAGCAAAGCACAAACCAGCCACTTAGGATGACAGACCCCACGTTAAACAAGTGTATCGACCTTTCGGCATCCGAGATGCAAATTATGGGATCTTAACAATGACGACGGCGACGCCGAGGACAACGCCTTGTAAAATTGAATTTGTCCAGAATGCCTATGGCTCTAAAACCTCGCTCAGGCTAAATATGTAATGACAGCGTTCAATTCTAAATGGAAATACGAAAAATTAGCGGCTCAACTCATCGTTCGCGTTCGCGGTCATTTTGCGTTGTTGTTTTGCAGAGGACGGCTATGTGTACAAACGTTTACTTAACACACTCGCACCGCCTTTGTTTTGCCAATTAAACCTTTTGTTTGGTGGTGCTCATTGACGTCGTGGTTTGCTCCAGATTCTGTCCACACTACGCCGGAGAAATTAAAAAACGCATACAGCTTTATTATTTCTACGGTTAGGCCCACGGTCCAGAGTAATCCGTCACGAAAACGGAGCTTTTCGAAAACGCTCTTCAAGCTGGAGAAATTTGAAAACGCCGGCTTTGAGTTTTCTTGTGGACGGAAAACATTTTAAAACGGACCTTTTGGAACACGATAGGAGCAGGAGAACCACGTGATTTCCCTGGCCGAGATTTCCTCAAACAAAAATATACAACGACCGGCGATTGTTGTGTTTTTAAATTCCTCCGGTGTAGTGTGAACGACCGGGCCTAAGCTTCCTAGGTTCCTAATGAAGTCAATAATCAGTTGGCGTTCTTCAATAAGTCCAAAGAGAAAAAAATCGGGGGAGGTCCCGCGCAAAGGAGAAATACATCATAAATAAACACCGTAAGCAAAATAAATATTTAGGAGTGGAACTCTTTAAGGACCTCGATCAAGTTTAATATTCGTTATATGTTACTAGCATTATCACGAAGGCTGACCCGGTGGCTAAATAAAGTTTTACTTTACTTACTTTTACTGTCAGATTTATCAGAAGGAACCTGGAACACATTTAAGAAAAACTCTTGTTATTCATTAGTAAGAGACCATCTGTGCGGGATTCACCTGCCCGAAAGCAAATTCATGACATCCAGATCTTGGGTGTATACAATTTATGATCGAATACCAGGGTATGTGATTCGCATACCTAAAAGGAAATTTATGGCATCCCACCAGATCTAAGGTGTACAACGACAAGCCGCTCGTTTTGTTAAACATTTGTATTATCGAATACCAGGGTATGTGACCGGTCTCTTGAATGAGCTAATAATGGCAACGCATCTCATTAAATCGGTTCTGCAACCAATTCTCGTTAAATCAGTTGTTATCAGTTCATGTGGAACCAAGCGGGCTATTCACCTGATACATACTACTTCCACGACAGTCGCTACATGTAACATGCAATATTCGTTAGATTTAGAACAATTAAGATTACAGAAAATGGATATCAAAGGATGTGCTCTAGTGACGGTTATAACTTATTTCTTCCGTAATCTTTGGCGATGAGGTGCTTTTCCCTTGTCTACTCTCAGAAAGTTCACTCGTATTTTATCGGCGCTCCGCTATTTTGTATTTTAGTCGGTTTTCAATTCGTTAAAAATGTCTCTTGCAAACCAGAATTTATCATCAATTGCATATCATCTAGTCGACTCAACTACTTGGACACGAAGGGTCAATTCAAGTGGTATGGGGATTTTGAAGATTTCATTTGTCTGGTCAAGACATTACTCGAGTTTACAGAAGATGGCGAAATCTCAGAAGATCCGAGCCCATAAAATCTTTTCATTTAAAGGTGGGTGCATGTGATATAGTGAAGTGGTATTTTTCAACTCATACCGTCCAAACGCAGGGTCTGGTTACGCTATCTTGCGAGAAAAACTAGGCAACTTCTTTGCATCGAAGGAAACCTGCTTGCTCTTCAACCGAACTGTGACACTCAGCAATGTCCGCTCGCGGCAAGATTTCCGTACAACCCCAAACATTTATTATGCATTAAGTTCTCTGTTTAACTAAATAACAGCCGCGAAGGGCACAGCTCTGTTAGTAAAAATCATATCCTTTGCAATCGGTAATATCTCTAATACTGCTAATAGGATATTTTGGGGACTGAGTCCGCTTGCCCAAATGAGTTTTCTTCCAAAACCAATACAGTGGCATCAGGTTACTTTCTTTCCATCAACAGAAGATTTAAATTCATTTCTCACAGCATTGTGAGTCTTCCTAAGCATTTGGAAGAGCTTCAATCAAATTTAAGTAACCAGTTAGTTGATTTGCTCGTTCTAAGGGTTAACACTTTTCTGAAGGATGAATTATTTTCTATTGATGGGTATGATTTATTGAGAAAGGATAGAAACCGTCAGGGCGGTGGTGTTGCCATTTACATTAGGTCTACGATTTAGATTTTAGATTTTAGAAGGTATTGAGGGTATCTGTCTTGAAATTCGCAGACCATGCAGCAAGCCGTTTGTTATGTTAGCGTGTTACAGGCCTCCTATTTCTGACCCTTCCTTCCTTGTGAAAATTGAAGAGATAATAGGTAGAATAGACTCTGAGGACAAAGAAATAGTCCTTGTCGTTGATCTAAATGGTAACTACCTTTCAAGCAATCAAAATAATAATAATAATTACATTCCATTACTCTTAGGTCTATTACCGAGACATATCAAATGTCTCAACCCCCCCCCGGGGAGGGGGGTACTCCCAGAAAAGTTGGGTAGGGGTGTGCGGCCCACTTCCCAAAACCCTCACCCTATTTATTACCAAAATCTGCGATTTTTTGCTACCCTTCTTTTGGCCTGGCCAAAACTTCGATATGATACCCTATTTATGACCTTTGTAGCTGTCACAGTTGCCCTAAACAAAAGTTATGAAGGGCTTTTGTTGACGGTCTTATTGATAATGATGAAAAAGTAGCTACTTCTAAGAAACATACCCAGTTCAAGACTAGAGTGCTAAAACCATACCCTATTTAAGACCAATATATTTCTTTCTGTAGCTGACCTACACGCTCCGCCAAAAACAAAGCGAGTTCGTCAGAAGGCTTCTCCCTGGCTCACTCGTGACATCTCGGTACTTATTGTCAAGAGAGACAGAGCTAAATTAAACGCTCAAAAACGTAATGATTCCAAACTTTGGTCAGAATACAAATCGCTTAGAAACCAAGTTAACAGAGCGATTAAAAATTCAAAAAACTCTTCTACAACGCTAAATTCTCTGCAAACTCAAGCAATCCCAAAAAATTTGGAAAACGATGATTAATTCAATTACAGGTAGATCCCAAAAAGACTCTGTTATCAACGAAATTAATGTCGATGAAACACATTGTAGCAGCAATCAAGACGAAATTGATTCCTAATTTACCACTTCATGAATATCGGGCCTCATCTAGCCTCAAAACTTCCAAGCACTACCAAGGCTTTTAATCTTTACATAACCCCAGCTATATCCGTTTTTCAATTGACCTGTATTAATCCGAGTGATGTATTGGATCTCCTCAAAAACTGGGTCACTAATAAATCTGCCGGTCTCGATCGCATTCTAAACAAATTACTCAAGGTCGCAGGGGATAGTATTGCCGAGCCCCTCCGTTTACTTTTTAATAATAATACATGTATGATACATGAAAAATTGCTCGATTCTGATTGGCTGAGAGCAGTGCAGTTCAAGTGTAACACCAATGCAAAAAGTATAACACCAGTGCAAATTACACATCGTAATTCTGGATTATGATCGGCTGAAAGACAATAGGAAATTTCTAAGCCAGTGATATCATGTAAAATGATTACGAAAATTTTGTGCGGAAACCTTGAAAAAAGTTTTCTCGAATGAAAAAATGGCTTTAAGAAAGATCTTCCGGCACTTCCTCCAAGCGAATTTTTTCATGTTTATTTCAGCTTTTTCAGCTTTTTAAAAACCTCACTCGTGCAAATTAATTAATTCCAAATTGAATTCGGAACCGTATGATTACCTATACTAACAATTCTATCGCTAGTGGTTATATCCCTAGTGATTGTAAAATTGCGAAGGTTTTCCACTCCAAAAGGGCAACAGTGAAACAAATCTTAACAATTATCGTCCAATTTCCATTCTACCTTCTATTCCTAAAATTATGGAAAGGCTTGTTTACAACCAACTCTGTTTATACCTTTCGGATAACAAATTGCTAGATATCACTCAGGCTTGCGATCGTTACATTTAACCGCCACAGCTTTGCTTGACGCTACCAAACAATGGTACTTCAACATCGATAATGGCCTTGTCACATCCGTTGTTTTTCTTTACTTAGCTAAAGCTTTTGACGCCATTGATCATAATATTAATTATTCCAATAATTTTCCCCCGAAAATGAAAGTGGTGACCCGTACGGGAGACCGGGAGATTCGGTCTGTATCAGCTTGTATCCATGAGGTTCCTGGATAATCTGGGAGAGTTTTCACCGCCTCTAAGTGAACAGGCTCCCTACGAGCGCGAAAAAAAAAAAAAAAATAATAATAATAATAAACAGTAGGGCGAGCGAAGCGAGCCTGGCGTGGTGGGAATTTACCCTCTCCAGACCACTCTCGGCTATCTTTGCCCGCCTGTTTTCTTCTTCCCCTATAAAATCGTGAGCCTGTGCATGTTCACAGGCTAAGTTGGCAGAGATCTTGTATGCGAATTGAGAAGACGTCTACGCCACCTTTACCATGTTCTAATATACAGGCAATATTTATGTCAAAGCTTTACACCTGCAAATCCTTTCTGTGCAGCAACGTTTTTATGTCTGTAAAGGATGTAACGTGGCTTTTGAATTCAGTTAGGTCTTTATGACGACCTTCATTAAGTGGCACACAAACGTTTCTCTTGTGTAGTCTCTCGTTGCTTACACAACTGTCTTCTCGAGCGGTATAAAATGACACCTAACGTGTGTTTCTCGTTTCAGCTCTTTTGGACGAAATTCGTGCAGATCTTTTATACGATAGCCGGATTCGGATATGGTGTGTCATATTCTCTTGGTCTGATACAGTGCCAAAAATGATCGGTCGACAAAATGGACAAAAATAACACTGAAGCTCATAGTCCTTGTGCAAAGTTTAACTATTTTCAATTGACTTATTCTTATAATTTACTTTGAACGGAATGCTATCCTTCTAGTTCAAAGAGCCGTAACCTGCAGAACAGGCGGATTAGCGGGCTCTAGCTGTTCTGCAGGCTAAAAAAACCGTTCACTTATCACGGAAGTCTAATTGGTAAATCACGCATAACGTGCTTGTAGAATAGCAAATCACGCGTCACGTTATGATGGCCTGTCCCGTGTCACGCGGCTAATTTGGTCTCAATCACGCTGCTAATTTTGGAGCAATCACTCATCACGCAAAAACCCTTTTCAACCCTCTCCCGTGAATATTTCTACGTAGTAATCAGCCTTGCTTCATTGTTATCTCTGTATTTAGTAGGCACCGTATAACGTTGAACAAAACTGTTCGTCGAGCAGACCGCGCTGATGAAATGGCATAAACTGAACCGCTCCCCCAGCCCCACCCCTTCAAAGATAAACGCTTGTCAATTTCGTGAATGATACATGTAGAGAGTGATGGTAGACCGCACGCGCCCGCACTACATCGAGAGAGTCGTGAAACAATCATTGAAAATGGCGGCTTTTCAAACTCATTCGCAACAACTAAACAGCAATCCTATCGTAAACACCAGCCCTTTGAAAAACTCTGGCCCATCTGCCATACCTCCGATACCTAACTTTCCATCTCCGCAACAAAACAGTACTAACGTGGGGACAAAGCGAAAAGAAACTGGCACTCCACATAATGACATACCCTACAAGAAATCACCGGCTTGGCTGTCTGGTCGAGAGTTATTTTGCGAAACCTGCAACGTAGAATTGAATTCAATCAGTCAAGCTATACAGCACAGACAAGGGAAAGTCCATCTGAACAAAGTTAAGAAAGTGGAAAAATTTAGAATGGTAAGTTAAGGTAGAGTTTTGTTAAAATATAATTGTTTGCGGTGATGGAGTTGAACGTGGAAAGTTATTGGTTTTGGACGGCATGATTTCGATTCACCTTCACCTTTCAAAGTTCAACTCCGCTTGTTATTAAAATTTTATCAGACTCAAGAAATTCCTTCTTTGATTAGTGCCGGGATTAGTGATATCATTTATAGGGCTGTTTATTTTTTGCCCCCTAGCCTACTGTTTACACAACTTCTTCGCAGATCACGGCGATGGTAGTTAATTCTTTTTTCTCTCACTGGGAGCGCGTTTGTGGTACGATTTGCGGACACACATTGTTTTCTCAGCTGAATAAGTTTACCTCTATTTATTATGTTATGAAACATTGCCTTGCTACATTTTTAGACATTTTGTATAAGTGCAACATCTGGTTCAAAAATACTTTTCTATTGCTCTTATGCAGTGTGTCTTATGTCAGCAACTTGTAAGGTTTTCTTTCCGATAATATAATATAAGCCTTATATGGAAACAAGATCTCTCGGAGATTATGATACAGCTGTTTTTATAAACCCTTACATACCTTAGCTACTGTCTTCACTCTTATGAATATTTTAAGAACATGTCCCACCACAAAAATGTGGTATTTAATTAACTTTAAGAATTTATGGGCTGAGCAAGCAAAACGTGGAGTTAAAATTCTAAACCTTCTTCTTAGTTAACCCAGTTGACAGAATGAATAGTCTGCAACTGTCCGTTCAGGTAACAACCTAATCAAAAAATCATTTGGTAGCTTATTATAACAGCAGGCTGCACCTAATTAATCTGCAGCTTTTGTTACAGTCCTTAGAACAGTGTTTTGGTTACAACGGTAATTGTTTGTACACTGCTGAGTTAATGTCTTGAAAGCTACAGGCTGAACCAATCTACTTGTAGTGTTGTATTTTATTTTTTTGACATACTTTGTAAAGACAATACTGATGTAATGTTGTTACATTATACTTTGGTCACAGACAGATTATTCCTTGGCTATTTGTGCATTGTGCTCTTATCAAGATAATTAATAATCAATGAGAAACAAAACTAGGAAATTACTGTTCAATGAGAACAATGCATAAATGTGTACATGTACGTAAATTGGACATACAATTTGTCCCAACAAGTGTAAACCTTTTCATTCAACCTTCTTTACACCAATGCATTGTCTGTGGAAAGTAACTGAAAAAAGTCCAATTAAGTTATATCGTTAATCAGGTTTTATCATTTACAATCTCTTGCACTTGGCTCGAGTCTGTAAATCTTATGTAGCATAACCACTCATTATTTGTACGTGGATGATCAAGTGGTAGTGCTACGTGTAGTTATGACAAGGTCAAGGTGATAAAAACCCTTGTTTCTGTAGTTCATGTATTGTTCTGTGTAAGCTGTTTGAAGATGACTGAAATGAGCAGATAGACAAAATAGGTAAAGACAACTCATGCTACAAGAAAATCGTGTAACTTACTTCTGGATAAATTTAGAAACAATAATTAATTTTGCTAAGTGAATTCAAGGTAAAAAAGCACCTGTGTTTTTAAATGAATGAATGAATGAAAACTTTATTAATGTGTCAGTGTATTTAGCTGTAGTATTGCTCAGTTTAAGCTGTAAAAGATAACCAAATTACAGGTACATGTAAGCTGCTGCAAGAGATAGGCAAAATACCTTGAGAAACATCATGCATTCAAACGTAATGTTACTTGTGGATAAATTTATAAAAAATTGTAATTTACTAATCAGAAGTAATGGTGTAACCACTAGCTATAGTTCTGTAGCATAATTTTCTTGTAGCATAAACAATAATTAATTTAGCTGTGTGTATTCAAGGTAAAAAAAGCACCTGTGTTTTGAATGAATGAATGAATGAATGAAAACTTAATTTATTAAATGTGTCAGTGTATTTAGCTGTAGTATTGCTCAGTGTAAGCTGTAAAAGATAGCAACCAAATTACATGTAAGCGGCTGTAAGAGATAGACAAAATACGTAGAGACACATCAAGCAATGTAATGTTACTTGTGGATAAATTTATATACAATTATAATTTACTGATCAGAAGTAATGGTGTAACCAGTAGTTCAAGGTAAAGTGAAAACATCTGGACATCTGTGGTTTTGTTTTTTGCAAGAGGTAATTGGGGATATATCAAAGCATGTTTTCATAAGCACTCAACTACAAAACTAGATGAACTTACAACTGTTTAAGCTCAAATAGGGGAATCTTTTTAATTTACTGATGCCATTGTTAAATCTCATATCTAGAAATTCACTCAATTTAGCAATAGATAACAGGTGTATGGAACTCATTACTGTAAAATTAAGTTACATGTTTTAATAGTGTCAAGTCTGGAAGGCAATTCTTTCCACCCAGGACTGAAAGCTTGACTGTTTTCAATGATAAATCAGTGTTGTGTCTGGTCCAATATCTAGTATTTCCAGTGATATCCAGTGCTGCAGTTAATTCAAAGCACAGTTGCTATCAATTTATTTATCAGTCATCTGTATGGGGCAACAACCAAGATCCAAAAACCAAAACAATAAAAAATAAACAAAATAAAATAAAATAAAAGTTGTCATGGCAGACTCTAACCACAAAATGTGCTGGCACCACAGGTAGTAAATTGTTAGTACATCTTCATGTACAGTGTATGCAATTAAGGTGCTCCCTGCTTGGAATCCAGTTCCTTGAAGAAAATTATTAAATGATATTTCAGTTCTTTACTGAAAAAGTTTTCTGCTGTTAGTAGATTTAATTTTAAAACAAGGGTCGGCTTACCTTTAGTTAATTTCTCTCAGTTTTACTGCTCTGTTAAGTTAAACAAGAAGTCATTGAATTATTTTTTATTAACTTTTACAACTAATGTACTCATAAACCACATATGCATGCATTGCAGACCTATTTGGAAACAGTTGTGCTAAAAAGGGATCAAAGAGCTCTGGAGTGAAGAGTTTAAGCTAGGCTGCTTAGTCCATTTAGTGCGTCTGCAAATAAATTACAAGAGAAAAATAATTTATTGCCGCCTGAAATCCCTAGGGCAAGAGGCACGCAAGAGGAGCCTGGAGTCCCTCCTTTCGCGCACTTCTTGGCGCCAGGATTTTGCATGACTTTTTTTTCTCATGATTTTCCTTTGCGTCATACATGAAGGACAAACGCAAGTAGTCAAAAAAGAAGTCTGAGCAGTCTTTCACAACCATTTACAATCTTGAAATCACAATCTCTTTAAACATATCATTCCCACTGACAGCAATATAATTATAACTTACGTGAACTATTGCTTTGAAATTTAAGTTTAAGTTTAATAATACTTTGTCATGAAAAACAAAAAGGACATGACTGGAGAATAATTGGGGGAAACAAAATTCCCATACAAAGAATATTCTCTGATATTAAACATTCTAAAAAAAATTAAGAAATAAAATTTAAAATGTTTTTAGCTGTTTCAGACTTCCGACGGACATGACGTGACCTGCAGTGCTCCCGTTCAACCTCAAGTAGCTCCTAATCCTCCACCAGTAATGCCTTCAGTAGAACAACCAAGACAGCTTGGCAAAGTAAATTTACAGTGAGATGTCTGCCAAAAATTATTCAACTCAGAAACACAAACTGTGCAACATTTTCAAGGTCAAAAGCACAAACAGAAATTGCAGAGTGTGGGAGTGAGTCACACAGAATTGCAGGTGTCAACAACAGAATCTAATGCATCACTTAATCATCGACAAGACGGAACTTGCTCAGTTGCTGCAACTGAAAATGGAACAATACCTTTGTCATCGGCAAATGGCTCTGAAAGCGAGGGACTGTACTGTGAGCAGTGTGGCTTAACAGTGAACTCCAAGATTCAAATGGCCACTCATCTCCAAGGAGCAAAACACAAAAACACTGTTGCTAGTATGTAAAAATACCTCCTTTCTGTCTTTTTGTCGTAAATCACCAGAGTACTTAGAAAAGGAGTGGAAAGTCTGATGGCTTAATGGTTGGGACAATAGATTCTGGGACACACAGTCTGGTTCCACTCTGGCTAGGGTCATTATGTCATGTTCCTGGAGGAACCACCTCCACCCTCTCCCTTAATAACACATGATTTATATTCTAAGGAATTTTTGTATTGTATACAGAAGGTAAACTGCGCTTACCATCTGTAAAATCCCTACGGATCGACAAGCTGTTCCACCTCCTTACTCAAGTAACATGTTTACAATTATTTTGAGTACCCTGAGTGAGTAAACTGACCAAAAACTGTCTTTTACGATCTGTCAAACTGTATGGATTGTAAAATTATGCAATCCAATCCCTATTAAACGGCCACCCTTGGGGAAATGGATGGTGGCTACTTCAAGGGGGCTGGCAGCTTACTGGAGGTTAAAACAATAGAAAAGCCTTCATCTGATTACTGGCTGTCTAATAGGGGTGGTTGCCAAATAGGGGCTCAACTGTATTTTCGAACCGTATCAGTTTGTAGATATTGAACATGACCGCCTCTCTTCACCCAGGTGTTAAGTAGCTACTTACAAATTTATATTACTTTTAATTAATTAATGACTGAAATGCTGAATTTTTTTGTCACTGACAGGTAAAAGACTCCAAGTGGGTCAATCTCGACCTGTGTTGCAGTGTGATGATTGCAGGACAACCTTCAATTCGCAGATGCAGTTGACACAGCATTTAACAAGTTCAAAGCATATTAAGAAAGTACAAAAGAAACAAACAACCCATGTACAGTTTAGAGGCCAGGAAAGAGGGCATGGACGAGGTCGGGGCAGAGCTAGAGGAGGTAATATTAAAAGACCAAGATCTAATAACCTTATTATTAGTAGCCAGTCAGCTGTGTTCTATTGGAAATCTGCGAGTCTGATTGGTTCTCTCATTGTTTTTTTTTTTATTTAACGATTAGATTATGAGCTTGAGATTTCTATTGCGTGATAGTTGATGAGGGTCCAACCCGAGTCAGTTATCATGCACAGAAATCAAGAGTGAATAATCTAATTGTTTTAATATAGATCTAGTAGTCATTCAAAACTTTACTTAAATCCTCTTCACAAACACCTCGAAAACACAAAGAAGTGGCTGTCATTTTGTTAACAAGCACACACTGCTATGTTTCTCACTATCCATAACAGAATAGTGAGTAGCGTAGCCAATCAGAGGACAGCATTCGTAATAGAATGCTAGTAGATTTATACTGATTGCTAATAGACATTGATTTCATACATGCTGCTCTTGAAAATTATTTAATTTTGGGCTTAAAAATTAGGTTTTGTGTTGTAATCCTTAAGAGTGTCTACGAAAACAATTAGACNTAGAGAGTGATGGTAGACCGCACGCGCCCGCACTACATCGAGAGAGTCGTGAAACAATCATTGAAAATGGCGGCTTTTCAAACTCATTCGCAACAACTAAACAGCAATCCTATCGTAAACACCAGCCCTTTGAAAAACTCTGGCCCATCTGCCATACCTCCGATACCTAACTTTCCATCTCCGCAACAAAACAGTACTAACGTGGGGACAAAGCGAAAAGAAACTGGCACTCCACATAATGACATACCCTACAAGAAATCACCGGCTTGGCTGTCTGGTCGAGAGTTATTTTGCGAAACCTGCAACGTAGAATTGAATTCAATCAGTCAAGCTATACAGCACAGACAAGGGAAAGTCCATCTGAACAAAGTTAAGAAAGTGGAAAAATTTAGAATGGTAAGTTAAGGTAGAGTTTTGTTAAAATATAATTGTTTGCGGTGATGGAGTTGAACGTGGAAAGTTATTGGTTTTGGACGGCATGATTTCGATTCACCTTCACCTTTCAAAGTTCAACTCCGCTTGTTATTAAAATTTTATCAGACTCAAGAAATTCCTTCTTTGATTAGTGCCGGGATTAGTGATATCATTTATAGGGCTGTTTATTTTTTGCCCCCTAGCCTACTGTTTACACAACTTCTTCGCAGATCACGGCGATGGTAGTTAATTCTTTTTTCTCTCACTGGGAGCGCGTTTGTGGTACGATTTGCGGACACACATTGTTTTCTCAGCTGAATAAGTTTACCTCTATTTATTATGTTATGAAACATTGCCTTGCTACATTTTTAGACATTTTGTATAAGTGCAACATCTGGTTCAAAAATACTTTTCTATTGCTCTTATGCAGTGTGTCTTATGTCAGCAACTTGTAAGGTTTTCTTTCCGATAATATAATATAAGCCTTATATGGAAACAAGATCTCTCGGAGATTATGATACAGCTGTTTTTATAAACCCTTACATACCTTAGCTACTGTCTTCACTCTTATGAATATTTTAAGAACATGTCCCACCACAAAAATGTGGTATTTAATTAACTTTAAGAATTTATGGGCTGAGCAAGCAAAACGTGGAGTTAAAATTCTAAACCTTCTTCTTAGTTAACCCAGTTGACAGAATGAATAGTCTGCAACTGTCCGTTCAGGTAACAACCTAATCAAAAAATCATTTGGTAGCTTATTATAACAGCAGGCTGCACCTAATTAATCTGCAGCTTTTGTTACAGTCCTTAGAACAGTGTTTTGGTTACAACGGTAATTGTTTGTACACTGCTGAGTTAATGTCTTGAAAGCTACAGGCTGAACCAATCTACTTGTAGTGTTGTATTTTATTTTTTTGACATACTTTGTAAAGACAATACTGATGTAATGTTGTTACATTATACTTTGGTCACAGACAGATTATTCCTTGGCTATTTGTGCATTGTGCTCTTATCAAGATAATTAATAATCAATGAGAAACAAAACTAGGAAATTACTGTTCAATGAGAACAATGCATAAATGTGTACATGTACGTAAATTGGACATACAATTTGTCCCAACAAGTGTAAACCTTTTCATTCAACCTTCTTTACACCAATGCATTGTCTGTGGAAAGTAACTGAAAAAAGTCCAATTAAGTTATATCGTTAATCAGGTTTTATCATTTACAATCTCTTGCACTTGGCTCGAGTCTGTAAATCTTATGTAGCATAACCACTCATTATTTGTACGTGGATGATCAAGTGGTAGTGCTACGTGTAGTTATGACAAGGTCAAGGTGATAAAAACCCTTGTTTCTGTAGTTCATGTATTGTTCTGTGTAAGCTGTTTGAAGATGACTGAAATGAGCAGATAGACAAAATAGGTAAAGACAACTCATGCTACAAGAAAATCGTGTAACTTACTTCTGGATAAATTTAGAAACAATAATTAATTTTGCTAAGTGAATTCAAGGTAAAAAAGCACCTGTGTTTTTAAATGAATGAATGAATGAAAACTTTATTAATGTGTCAGTGTATTTAGCTGTAGTATTGCTCAGTTTAAGCTGTAAAAGATAACCAAATTACAGGTACATGTAAGCTGCTGCAAGAGATAGGCAAAATACCTTGAGAAACATCATGCATTCAAACGTAATGTTACTTGTGGATAAATTTATAAAAAATTGTAATTTACTAATCAGAAGTAATGGTGTAACCACTAGCTATAGTTCTGTAGCATAATTTTCTTGTAGCATAAACAATAATTAATTTAGCTGTGTGTATTCAAGGTAAAAAAAGCACCTGTGTTTTGAATGAATGAATGAATGAATGAAAACTTAATTTATTAAATGTGTCAGTGTATTTAGCTGTAGTATTGCTCCGTGTAAGCTGTAAAAGATAGCAACCAAATTACATGTAAGCGGCTGTAAGAGATAGACAAAATACGTAGAGACACATCAAGCAATGTAATGTTACTTGTGGATAAATTTATATACAATTATAATTTACTGATCAGAAGTAATGGTGTAACCAGTAGTTCAAGGTAAAGTGAAAACATCTGGACATCTGTGGTTTTGTTTTTTGCAAGAGGTAATTGGGGATATATCAAAGCATGTTTTCATAAGCACTCAACTACAAAACTAGATGAACTTACAACTGTTTAAGCTCAAATAGGGGAATCTTTTTAATTTACTGATGCCATTGTTAAATCTCATATCTAGAAATTCACTCAATTTAGCAATAGATAACAGGTGTATGGAACTCATTACTGTAAAATTAAGTTACATGTTTTAATAGTGTCAAGTCTGGAAGGCAATTCTTTCCACCCAGGACTGAAAGCTTGACTGTTTTCAATGATAAATCAGTGTTGTGTCTGGTCCAATATCTAGTATTTCCAGTGATATCCAGTGCTGCAGTTAATTCAAAGCACAGTTGCTATCAATTTATTTATCAGTCATCTGTATGGGGCAACAACCAAGATCCAAAAACCAAAACAATAAAAAATAAACAAAATAAAATAAAATAAAAGTTGTCATGGCAGACTCTAACCACAAAATGTGCTGGCACCACAGGTAGTAAATTGTTAGTACATCTTCATGTACAGTGTATGCAATTAAGGTGCTCCCTGCTTGGAATCCAGTTCCTTGAAGAAAATTATTAAATGATATTTCAGTTCTTTACTGAAAAAGTTTTCTGCTGTTAGTAGATTTAATTTTAAAACAAGGGTCGGCTTACCTTTAGTTAATTTCTCTCAGTTTTACTGCTCTGTTAAGTTAAACAAGAAGTCATTGAATTATTTTTTATTAACTTTTACAACTAATGTACTCATAAACCACATATGCATGCATTGCAGACCTATTTGGAAACAGTTGTGCTAAAAAGGGATCAAAGAGCTCTGGAGTGAAGAGTTTAAGCTAGGCTGCTTAGTCCATTTAGTGCGTCTGCAAATAAATTACAAGAGAAAAATAATTTATTGCCGCCTGAAATCCCTAGGGCAAGAGGCACGCAAGAGGAGCCTGGAGTCCCTCCTTTCGCGCACTTCTTGGCGCCAGGATTTTGCATGACTTTTTTTTCTCATGATTTTCCTTTGCGTCATACATGAAGGACAAACGCAAGTAGTCAAAAAAGAAGTCTGAGCAGTCTTTCACAACCATTTACAATCTTGAAATCACAATCTCTTTAAACATATCATTCCCACTGACAGCAATATAATTATAACTTACGTGAACTATTGCTTTGAAATTTAAGTTTAAGTTTAATAATACTTTGTCATGAAAAACAAAAAGGACATGACTGGAGAATAATTGGGGGAAACAAAATTCCCATACAAAGAATATTCTCTGATATTAAACATTCTAAAAAAAATTAAGAAATAAAATTTAAAATGTTTTTAGCTGTTTCAGACTTCCGACGGACATGACGTGACCTGCAGTGCTCCCGTTCAACCTCAAGTAGCTCCTAATCCTCCACCAGTAATGCCTTCAGTAGAACAACCAAGACAGCTTGGCAAAGTAAATTTACAGTGCGATGTCTGCCAAAAATTATTCAACTCAGAAACACAAGCTGTGCAACATTTTCAAGGTCAAAAGCACAAACAGAAATTGCAGAGTGTGGGAGTGAGTCACACAGAATTGCAGGTGTCAACAACAGAATCTAATGCATCACTTAATCATCGACAAGACGGAACTTGCTCAGTTGCTGCAACTGAAAATGGAACAATACCTTTGTCATCGGCAAATGGCTCTGAAAGCGAGGGACTGTACTGTGAGCAGTGTGGCTTAACAGTGAACTCCAAGATTCAAATGGCCACTCATCTCCAAGGAGCAAAACACAAAAACACTGTTGCTAGTATGTAAAAATACCTCCTTTCTGTCTTTTTGTCGTAAATCACCAGAGTACTTAGAAAAGGAGTGGAAAGTCTGATGGCTTAATGGTTGGGACAATAGATTCTGGGACACACAGTCTGGTTCCACTCTGGCTAGGGTCATTATGTCATGTTCCTGGAGGAACCACCTCCACCCTCTCCCTTAATAACACATGATTTATATTCTAAGGAATTTTTGTATTGTATACAGAAGGTAAACTGCGCTTACCATCTGTAAAATCCCTACGGATCGACAAGCTGTTCCACCTCCTTACTCAAGTAACATGTTTACAATTATTTTGAGTACCCTGAGTGAGTAAACTGACCAAAAACTGTCTTTTACGATCTGTCAAACTGTATGGATTGTAAAATTATGCAATCCAATCCCTATTAAACGGCCACCCTTGGGGAAATGGATGGTGGCTACTTCAAGGGGGCTGGCAGCTTACTGGAGGTTAAAACAATAGAAAAGCCTTCATCTGATTACTGGCTGTCTAATAGGGGTGGTTGCCAAATAGGGGCTCAACTGTATTTTCGAACCGTATCAGTTTGTAGATATTGAACATGACCGCCTCTCTTCACCCAGGTGTTAAGTAGCTACTTACAAATTTATATTACTTTTAATTAATTAATGACTGAAATGCTGAATTTTTTTGTCACTGACAGGTAAAAGACTCCAAGTGGGTCAATCTCGACCTGTGTTGCAGTGTGATGATTGCAGGACAACCTTCAATTCGCAGATGCAGTTGACACAGCATTTAACAAGTTCAAAGCATATTAAGAAAGTACAAAAGAAACAAACAACCCATGTGCAGTTTAGAGGCCAGGAAAGAGGGCGTGGACGAGGTCGGGGCAGAGCTAGAGGAGGTAATATTAAAAGACCAAGATCTAATAACCTTATTATTAGTAGCCAGTCAGCTGTGTTCTATTGGAAATCTGCGAGTCTGATTGGTTCTCTCATTGTTTTTTTTTTTATTTAACGATTAGATTATGAGCTTGAGATTTCTATTGCGTGATAGTTGATGAGGGTCCAACCCGAGTCAGTTATCATGCACAGAAATCAAGAGTGAATAATCTAATTGTTTTAATATAGATCTAGTAGTCATTCAAAACTTTACTTAAATCCTCTTCACAAACACCTCGAAAACACAAAGAAGTGGCTGTCATTTTGTTAACAAGCACACACTGCTATGTTTCTCACTATCCATAACAGAATAGTGAGTAGCGTAGCCAATCAGAGGACAGCATTCGTAATAGAATGCTAGTAGATTTATACTGATTGCTAATAGACATTGATTTCATACATGCTGCTCTTGAAAATTATTTAATTTTGGGCTTAAAAATTAGGTTTTGTGTTGTAATCCTTAAGAGTGTCTACGAAAACAATTAGACCACTTGCCCTTCTTTCCTCATGGAAAATTCAGGCTTGTAGTCTAATTGTTAATGAGTGAAGTACAATTCAGGGCGTACATGTGATAACGTCTGTAGGGGAGTAATTTCCAAATTGAATGAGCATGCAGCTTAAGGTTGCTGTGAAAGTACAGTATGAGCACAATTTTATATTGCAAAATAATTTATTTTTGTTACCTAATAATTTCAAATAATTCCAATGTTCCCATCTTTTAGCATTCAGAGGAGGACAAAGTCACAGAGGAAGAGGAAACTTCAAACCCCCTCATCTTACGTCAAATTTTGTCAAAGCGACTAGTTCTTTCCCAGAGAATCCTGGTTTCAGATTCTCTTCACCTGCGCAATCAACTTTTACTCCCTGTTTTACTGAATTTGATGCATCTTTTCAACAGCCTTTTATGTAAACATACAGTCGTGCTCAGATGTTTTTTAAAGAATATACTACTGTGAAGGTTAAAAAATAACAGCCCTGGTTACTGTAGGATTTACATGTAGCAGCTGTTAGCTAAAATGTGTACTATACTGTACGTGGGGTTAATCCAGCTGTAAACTGTTGAAAAATCCATTGTTATTTTACCATTCTAATCCAATGAAGGCTGAAGATTTTTAGCTGAAATGTCTTTTTCAAAGTTATCGCTAATGTTGTATTTAACATTAAAAAAGGTCAGCGACAAAGCTTCTTGCATTTTATTGCATCCATAATTTCCATCCATGTACCAGTAAAATAAGTTTCGAATAAAACAACCAAGTTTTTGGTCAGTTGTTGTCTCTATATACTTGGAAGTTGGTGATTTACCCTACTAACTTTACAAAGAGAGTCGTCTAGGGTCATCTAAAACAAATCAGATCAGTTTGACACATCTAGCTTGTTGTATCTGTCAGGTGTGATCAACAAGAGCAGTTGCAAAGAGGAGCAGGTTAACTGTATTATTTTATACTTGGCAATGTACTTGTCTTATGGTTATAAGTGCATTGTTTTTTCATGAATTTCTAAACATGTTCAGTGTCGTCCAACTTTCTTAATACCTCTCACAAAGGGGTGTTCCAGGTTGAAATGTCCTGATTCTTTGAAAAGAAAGCTGTTTAACACTAACTTAGGATTAAAAGTTAACTGAAGTAATAATTTTTCTTGAGTAGAAAATGAATTGTTTGTCATTATGTAAATTCAAAAGCGAAGGACAAACAATAAAAACAGAAACCTCATGGAAAAGTTACAAAACTGAAATCAAAATCCTTGCTAATCCTGGGTTAGCTTAATCGGGCTTTAAACTCCGCCCAGTTGGTTACAGGTACAGTAAGACCACAGATCTGAATGAAGTGGACAGGAAAGCGCAAAGTACATTCACAACAGGATTTTTCTTTGCACTATATGAAAAGAGATTATTTTTCCCTCAAACATGCATCTTGGTAAATGATAACCTCTATCACCAAATTTTCTTTGCGGTTGCACAATAATTATTAGCCTGCATAACTAGTGGAATTTTGCATGCGAGTGCTTTGCTTCTAGCAAGAGAAACAAAGTCTGAAGTCCCCTNAAAGAGGAGCAGGTTAACTGTATTTATACTTGGCAATGTACTTGTCTTATGGTTATAAGTGCATTGTTATTTCATGAATTTCTAAACATGTTCAGTGTCGTCCAACTTTCTTAATACACCTCTCACAAAGGGGGTGTTCCAGGTTGAAATGTCCAGTCATATTGTGCAGTTTACTTTTAAACGTTATTGAATATGTGTGAGAGGTACTCAAGCGTGTAGAAGACAATATCCTTCAGGGCCTGATTGTTTGAAAAGAAAGCTGTTTGACACTAACTCAGGATTAAGAGTTAACTGAAGTATTAATTTTTCTTGAGTAGAAAATGAATTGTTCGTCATTATTTAAATTCAGAAGTGAAGGACAAACAATAAAGACAGAAACCTCATGGAAAAGTTACAAAACTGAAATCAAAATCCTTGCTAATCCTGGGTTAGCTTAATCGGGCTTTAAACTCCGCCCAGTTGGTTACAGGTACAGTAAGACCACAGATCTGAATGAAGTGGACAGGAAAGCGCAAAGTACATTCACAACAGGATTTTTCTTTGCACTATATGAAAAGAGATTATTTTTCCCTCAAACATGCATCTTGGTAAATGATAACCTCTATCACCAAATTTTCTTTGCGGTTGCACAATAATTATTAGCCTGCATAACTAGTGGAATTTTGCATGCGAGTGCTTTGCTTCTAGCAAGAGAAACAAAGTCTGAAGTCCCCTCCATTTGAAGCTTCACCATCCGGTAACTTTGCTTCTCCCATTTGCAGCACTGCCGACAAAACCAAACATGCACATGAAATATACTAGCTGCCTGTGTGCAGGCTACAGTGACTGTGATAATGACTACCTTTAATTTTCGGACCAGCAACAAACAGCATTCCTGCAGCATAAATAATTTGTAACTTTATTGAGATGTTAAAACTTCGCTAACAAAGGAAACCATTTTGTCTGATACTGTATACCTGTAATTCACAAAGACTTTGATTAGTCAGTCTCAAATCTGTACTCGGTCATTACTAAAGCATGTTAACCTTCAATTTAACTTTGGACATTACAAACTTGGTTATATGTATCACAAAACACCCAAAAAACATTCTCAGCCAACATATTGTAAACAAGATGAACTTGAGCTAATATTACAATATTAAAGCACCGCATATGAGCTATAACTTCACTAAGTCTACTGACATTGCACCAAATTCACATACGTGTAGTCTCGATGGACAACGTTGGCACAAAACACCCTTTAACTGATAAACAAAAAACCTTGAGAAATTATGTTCAGTTAATCTGCCTACTGTACTAAACAAAGACTGCAAACTTTCTAAGTCTACTGCTCCAGTATTACCTAGACTACAGTAAATTTGATTTGCCTAGTAAAAAAACATAATTACAAAGTCGCAAAATAGTTCACAAACAAAACCCATCAAAACAATTTCCATTTTCAATACAGCAGGGTTTTGTATAAGACTGTTGATGCCTTCTAAACTAAGCCTCAATAAGATATAAATTTAAAATTTCTTTTAATCTACATTCTCAAAAAAATTATTTGAACTCCTCAAGTTTTTTAATAGTAGCTTATGAATGAGGAGAAAAACCTGCATGTTGAACAACAACTACTTTCAACAATGCTTTCACATGTATTAAGCCCCACAATTATCCATGTAGGGAATGTTATAGCCTGCAAACTTGTGAGACATTATTCAGAGTACTATAGATGTTAAGTCAGAGCATGTCTAAAAGAATGGTGAACAACATATTGTGAGGACATCACCAAATTATGATTTTTAATCAGTGGTGGTTTAGACTGAGATTTTGTGTTGAGGAATGTCCTCACCACCCTACTATTTTGATCCTCACTGATACAGGGAATGGGGTGCACCCTTTCCTTTTTCTTACAGCAGAATAAATCCTTTGATCTAATAAGAGGTTTATGTATTCTAAAATTGATGTTTTTAGTAGACGTATTACTTTTTTTATACTTCTGTCACCTTTTAAGTCTTACAGTACATGTAGTTTTTCCAACATATTTTCCAGAAATCTAAAACAAGAACCTTTGATTTTATAAACTTGTTGATATTCAAAATAATATTCTTTTTGTTACCAGTATTGCTCTTCTGACTCGTAATGAATTTTTTTTGGTGCCCATGTTGTAGACCCCGGCCCTGAGATAGGCCAATTTCAATATATAACTTCATTAAAAATTCTAACTTGGCTCCAAGGCTTAGGGGAATAAAACAAAAGAAATTAGTAATCATTTATCTCTAAACCTTGATGTGATTTCCGTTGTTTTATTCCCCTAAGCCTCAGAGCCACGGACAAAAAGTTTGTAAGCCTCCAAGGCAGGACAGTCTGGCCTCAAGAGTCCTCATGGACCCGATGAGGATGAGTGTGAGTGTGGCAGGACAGTGGCTCCTTTGATAAATTTGTCCGAGTCAAAATATTTTGTCCTTGCAGGAAAAATAAACCCATCCGCACTGATAAAAGTTATATGTTGACATATTTTGTAGCTAAAACAAAACAGTTTTGTCCTCAGTGCGTATCGACCCTTTAATATATCAAAATTGACCTATACTAGCCCCTGATTTGCATAAAAATAGCCTAAAGAACTTATTTCCTTGTTAACATTGTTAACATTTCACCTTAGAAAAGCAACGTAAGGAAATAGATGTCACTTTGGAGAGCATATATGGTTACAAGATAAAATAGTTTTCAGCTGTTTGCGAGACACTTTACCTAATTTTTGATAAATTTATGCTAAGGAGATTAGAAAACACTGATGTTAACAAAGATGTCAACTGGAATCTGGAAAAACTTTTTTGTAATGTCACCAACTTTGATTTATCTGAAATACCCATGAAAAGCCTCAGAAAAAAAAAATTAGGTTATCGAGTCCTTGTTCAGAACTTGGTTGATCATCATCTAACATTGAATGGAGTATTTTGAGACCAGATCAGAGGGAATGGCCAGCATCTGCTAACTGATCAGTTAGGTTAAGCACCCTATTGCTAATCACAGAGCTTCAGTTGCCACTCTTTGTATGATCTTTGAGAAATTCCAACAGTTCTGTTGGGTAAGCTCCTTTATCAACGGCCTTGCACCAGCGGCGGTACTGTCAAGACGAATAAAGCCACCAGTTAGAACAAAGAACAACACTGAACAAAAATAATATTCACTTAAGATAACAACATGTAGGGTGAAGGTGAGGTTGTGTCAAGATAGCCATCATAGTTAGGAAGTAAAATTTGACGGTGATGGTTATATCTGATGCAGTATGGTAACACGTGAAAAGTGTATGGCGTTCTCGTGTGTTTATCTGGAAGATCCCATTTGTTTAGTCTGCAATGTTGATCAAGAATGTTCTGTATAAAAACAAAATTGATAATCACCCACCGTCAAAGAAAAGGTGAAGAGATTTCCAGTGAATTTAGTATTTACGTAAGCTTAAGTGGTTTAACAAAATACATAAGCTTATTCAGTTCACGATCATGTGAATAGTGTCTTCTTTCAACCACACATTGGGGGCCAGTTTCACAAAATCAGTTAGATTGCAACATAAGCTTATATACAACAACAACACCTTTGTCTAGTTACTCGATCGGAATGCTTCTTACCATTTCTAGCTCTTCTCGAAGCTGGTAAACATAGCTTTCCTTGTCGGCAATCATTTCCTCTAAGTACTTATACCGCAGCTTCTTACGAGCGCGGCACTCTCGAGCAGATTGTCGACTTCGCTCGAGCTTTGCCTCAAGATCGATTTTAGAAGGTCGTCTTCCCCTCTTTCTTCCACAAGGCTTTTTAGTTGAGTTCATCTTTGAAGATTTATAGTTCTGAGAATCTGAGAAAGGCGAATCAGAGGAAGAATTACTATCCACCGAAGAAATACTGTCGTGTTTTGTCCGACGAGACCCAGTCCAAGAACACTTCATTCCTTCCTTTTGGGTCGAATCGACGATCTCTTCTGCTATTGTCTCTTCGTAAGAATTCTCTTTGTTAAAAGAGGAAGAAGCAACAGCCATGCACGGCTTAAAACTTGCAGGAAATCTCAAGATACCTTCTAGGTTTTTCAGGAAGACGAGCGCCTTCACGTACGTGGTAAAATTCACCTTCACGGATCAAAACAAAGTGATGTAATGTTTTGGTACTTGATTGACAATCAAATAAACCACGGCTCTAAATTTGATTGGATAAAACACCTGTTTCCGAGCAACAGGCGGAGAAACATTCTTTTTGGGAACCAATCAGGAACTGATAATGGTCAGTACGTACTCAGTGACGTAGTTTTGGCGCGAAGGTGTAACCACATGACAATCACATGATGATGACACAGCAGCGCTTCCGGATGTGTTCAAAGTGGGGCCCTCTTCCAAATATAGTTGGGGCTTGGAAATGAATACTTAAAAGGGCCTACTCAGTCCCAGACGCTCAGCGACCAAAGGGGACGAGAATGAGACTGGTGATGAAAATATTCATAAGGGCCTGCGCAGGCGTGGAGGCTAATTTGAATGGTTCGAAAATGTGAAAGGAATATTGAACAAAAACAATTGAGTGTCTCTAGTATTTTTGTACCCTTAGCTTACTTGATGCCCTAAACATTGGTAAAGGATGTGTCTTGAAAGGAAAATCGTGAAGATGGACGTCTGTGTGAAGAAAAATAGGTAGAACTACCAACAAATTAACGTGACTTTTTGGCATGGATTTGACATTTTGTTAGACGCGAAAACGTTTTGATAAGTGACAATATGGTTCGTCTTGTAATCAAAAGCTAGTATTGGACTTCATGGATTCTTGAAGCTCACGAGTCTGAGGAAGAAGAATATCGATGGACGACGTTAAAGTGGAAAATGTCCCGTACAATGTGATACCTGTGACAGAATATGATCCTTTTGAGGTACGTAAGTATGCCAGAATTGTAAGTTACTATAAAATCATGTCCACACGCTACAAGAGCGATTTTGTGGCTTCTGGCAAATTATGTATTATTAATGAAGAACTTCACGCAAATCCATGTTTTAAATACAGTGTCAAACGTAACGAAGTCACAGCAGGGATATCCATTGCAACACTTCCTGTTGTTAAATTGTTTCCCCTTGTACGTTTAAATTAATCGACAGTTGAAGTGTTTTCAAATTTGTTGAGTCCTGTGGATCTCAGACGTACCGTAGTCGTGATAAGATTATCAAATGATCCGTTTCCATTACTTAAGGAAACATGTGGGATGATTAATATTGTGATCAATTTGCATTTAGATTAAATTTAAGCATGTAAACATTCTTAGACAAGTTAATAAATTAAAACCAAACTTGCGAAGGGTTCTTGCTGTGTAAAGGGGTTCTTAACATCAGTACAGTATGAAAAAAATGGCAAAAATACAGTCTACAAAATAAGTTGTCACAGTTTGAAATAAAGTTTTACAGATTGTACTAGAACAATTTCTGTCAGTTTTGGTCGGCTCTAATTGAGGTTTTTTAAGGAATATTTCACTTAATTGCACATTGATATTAGCATGTCGAATGGTTAGCACAAGTGTCAACGATACAGCATGGCTTCATCTCATACTGTGATAGGCCCAGGGATGTACAGAAATAAGGCAATAAAGTTTTGGAAAAACTCTCACTGTGACTCTTTTGGAGGAGATTATGGCAGTAGTGTCATTGCCATGTACTTAAGACTAAGTAGAAATACAAATTGTGTTGTTCCAGAAAATATCCATACCCACCCCAAGGAAGGTTAACAGAAATTTCAAGGGGGAGGGAGGTTTCAAAAGCCCAATTTTTTAAAGGAAAGTATGGCACTAAAATGGAATTTCCAGAGGGGTGGGGTGGGAGGGGTTTCAAGCTAAAAACCTACCGTGGGAGGGATATGGATATTTTCTAGAACAACACATTGTATATTTACAACAATAATTAATGAAAAGAAAGTCATATAAAAAGTAGTTCAATTTTTTTCTTGCAAAACACTGAATTATAATCACTAAATAAAAGTCAGTGTTCTAATATTGTACAGATCACTTCCTGAATTAACTTCCTACCATTATACACATGTAGGTTTATTTTTGCTCGGGCTGATATGTCATTATTTCAAGACATGCAACACGAGAATATAAATTATTACCAACGATACTGATGATAGATGTCTCATTTCGCTACACGTGCACATGTACATGTATTTTGTCAACAGGCGAAGTTTGCGGCTTCTCTTTACTGGTTAGTATTTCGTGCTACTGAAGATGGAGAATTTGATGACATCCCATCCCAAGTAACCAGTCCCATTCAGAGGGATTCTGAGGTACATTACATGAAAATCTAGAACAGTTACTGTAGCATTAACTACATGTAGAACTAAGTTTATTTTTAATAGCGGTGCAGTGGCTTCATGGTTAATGTGCTTGACTCTGGATCAAGCGGGTCGGGTTTGAGCCCTGGCCGGGGACATTATGTCATGTTCTTGGGCAAGACACTTTACTTTAATTTATAGTGCCTCTCTTCACCCAGGTGTATAAATGGGTACCGGTAAATTTAAATGATAAGGGTAACCCTGCGATGGATAGCATCCCATCCAGGGGGGAGTAGAAATACTCATAGACACTTCATACTACAGAAACTGGGATAAACTCCAGCCTGATGGGCTCATACAGTGTATGCAAACTTTACCTTTACCCTATATGTATGCTATTGTCAGTTTTGGGCAGCTTTCCAGAGTGATTAATGTGTATGATCTCTACTGAATATAAAATGAAACTGAGACAATGAAATATGTGGCCTGGCTAATAATATTAAACTCAGCTAATAAGTTTAGTACATTTATTTCAATAGAAACGCATTACTGTCCGTCCAGAGGTAACGGAATTCCTTACAAATGGTGTGATTTACTGCAAGGTTTGTGACAGCATCTTTGATGGAAAAGTTCCTGTGGTTGGTCAGTGGGCTCTTCTTCAGACCCTCTCTCGTCACGGCTTTTATGTGGTTGAAGAAGGTGACATTGCTGTCACGGATTCTGCTTTACAGCAAAAGAAACCATTTAGAAAGGTATTGGCTCGACGAGTTAAATTTTGATCCATAGTACTCATATACTTATTTTGTGAAGAGTGGGCTTGTCATTGGGTTTAAAAGCTCTACAACAGACTGTATCGGCTGAAGGAAGTAACATGTATGCCTGTTAACCGAAGAACTAAATCTGAACTGTATACACTCCTTATGGTCTCAATAATTTTTTTGGTGGGGTTGGGGTGGTGGAATTGTCACCAGTTTTTTTTTCTGTTCAAATGATATTTTTCTTCTTTAAATTAATAGGAAGGGGCTAGGAGAGAACTGTACCATACTGTACCTCCAGCAGGAGCGAAACTGCTATTACTTGTACATGTATACGTAATACTTGTAATCTCCATTCTAGTGAGATGTATACTATTCAAAATACTTGTCTCTGGAAGTTTGACCTTGAAATTACATCAGATTAATGGTATTTTCAGACTAATTTCCCTCGTCTGAGCTTTGTAGTAAAAAGTCATTGACATGTCTCTGTTTTTGATGTTTCTTTTTTAGTCCACACATCTCGCACNACATTGCACCAAATTCACATACGTGTAGTCTCGATGGACAACGTTGGCACAAAACACCCTTTAACTGATAAACAAAAAACCTTGAGAAATTATGTTCAGTTAATCTGCCTACTGTACTAAACAAAGACTGCAAACTTTCTAAGTCTACTGCTCCAGTATTACCTAGACTACAGTAAATTTGATTTGCCTAGTAAAAAAACATAATTACAAAGTCGCAAAATAGTTCACAAACAAAACCCATCAAAACAATTTCCATTTTCAATACAGCAGGGTTTTGTATAAGACTGTTGATGCCTTCTAAACTAAGCCTCAATAAGATATAAATTTAAAATTTCTTTTAATCTACATTCTCAAAAAAATTATTTGAACTCCTCAAGTTTTTTAATAGTAGCTTATGAATGAGGAGAAAAACCTGCATGTTGAACAACAACTACTTTCAACAATGCTTTCACATGTATTAAGCCCCACAATTATCCATGTAGGGAATGTTATAGCCTGCAAACTTGTGAGACATTATTCAGAGTACTATAGATGTTAAGTCAGAGCATGTCTAAAAGAATGGTGAACAACATATTGTGAGGACATCACCAAATTATGATTTTTAATCAGTGGTGGTTTAGACTGAGATTTTGTGTTGAGGAATGTCCTCACCACCCTACTATTTTGAACCTCACTGATACAGGGAATGGGGTGCACCCTTTTCCTTTTTCTTACAGCAGAATAAATCCTTTGATCTAATAAGAGGTTTATGTATTCTAAAATTGATGTTTTTAGTAGACGTATTACTTTTTTTATACTTCTGTCACCTTTTAAGTCTTACAGTACATGTAGTTTTTCCAACATATTTTCCAGAAATCTAAAACAAGAACCTTTGATTTTATAAACTTGTTGATATTCAAAATAATATTCTTTTTGTTACCAGTATTGCTCTTCTGACTCGTAATGAATTTTTTTTGGTGCCCATGTTGTAGACCCCGGCCCTGAGATAGGCCAATTTCAATATATAACTTCATTAAAAATTCTAACTTGGCTCCAAGGCTTAGGGGAATAAAACAAAAGAAATTAGTAATCATTTATCTCTAAACCTTGATGTGATTTCCGTTGTTTTATTCCCCTAAGCCTCAGAGCCACGGACAAAAAGTTTGTAAGCCTCCAAGGCAGGACAGTCTGGCCTCAAGAGTCCTCATGGACCCGATGAGGATGAGTGTGAGTGTGGCAGGACAGTGGCTCCTTTGATAAATTTGTCCGAGTCAAAATATTTTGTCCTTGCAGGAAAAATAAACCCATCCGCACTGATAAAAGTTATATGTTGACATATTTTGTAGCTAAAACAAAACAGTTTTGTCCTCAGTGCGTATCGACCCTTTAATATATCAAAATTGACCTATACTAGCCCCTGATTTGCATAAAAATAGCCTAAAGAACTTATTTCCTTGTTAACATTGTTAACATTTCACCTTAGAAAAGCAACGTAAGGAAATAGATGTCACTTTGGAGAGCATATATGGTTACAAGATAAAATAGTTTTCAGCTGTTTGCGAGACACTTTACCTAATTTTTGATAAATTTATGCTAAGGAGATTAGAAAACACTGATGTTAACAAAGATGTCAACTGGAATCTGGAAAAACTTTTTTGTAATGTCACCAACTTTGATTTATCTGAAATACCCATGAAAAGCCTCAGAAAAAAAAAATTAGGTTATCGAGTCCTTGTTCAGAACTTGGTTGATCATCATCTAACATTGAATGGAGTATTTTGAGACCAGATCAGAGGGAATGGCCAGCATCTGCTAACTGATCAGTTAGGTTAAGCACCCTATTGCTAATCACAGAGCTTCAGTTGCCACTCTTTGTATGATCTTTGAGAAATTCCAACAGTTCTGTTGGGTAAGCTCCTTTATCAACGGCCTTGCACCAGCGGCGGTACTGTCAAGACGAATAAAGCCACCAGTTAGAACAAAGAACAACACTGAACAAAAATAATATTCACTTAAGATAACAACATGTAGGGTGAAGGTGAGGTTGTGTCAAGATAGCCATCATAGTTAGGAAGTAAAATTTGACGGTGATGGTTATATCTGATGCAGTATGGTAACACGTGAAAAGTGTATGGCGTTCTCGTGTGTTTATCTGGAAGATCCCATTTGTTTAGTCTGCAATGTTGATCAAGAATGTTCTGTATAAAAACAAAATTGATAATCACCCACCGTCAAAGAAAAGGTGAAGAGATTTCCAGTGAATTTAGTATTTACGTAAGCTTAAGTGGTTTAACAAAATACATAAGCTTATTCAGTTCACGATCATGTGAATAGTGTCTTCTTTCAACCACACATTGGGGGCCAGTTTCACAAAATCAGTTAGATTGCAACATAAGCTTATATACAACAACAACACTTTTGTCTAGTTACTCGATCGGAATGCTTCTTACCATTTCTAGCTCTTCTCGAAGCTGGTAAACATAGCTTTCCTTGTCGGCAATCATTTCCTCTAAGTACTTATACCGCAGCTTCTTACGAGCGCGGCACTCTCGAGCAGATTGTCGACTTCGCTCGAGCTTTGCCTCAAGATCGATTTTAGAAGGTCGTCTTCCCCTCTTTCTTCCACAAGGCTTTTTAGTTGAGTTCATCTTTGAAGATTTATAGTTCTGAGAATCTGAGAAAGGCGAATCAGAGGAAGAATTACTATCCACCGAAGAAATACTGTCGTGTTTTGTCCGACGAGACCCAGTCCAAGAACACTTCATTCCTTCCTTTTGGGTCGAATCGACGATCTCTTCTGCTATTGTCTCTTCGTAAGAATTCTCTTTGTTAAAAGAGGAAGAAGCAACAGCCATGCACGGCTTAAAACTTGCAGGAAATCTCAAGATACCTTCTAGGTTTTTCAGGAAGACGAGCGCCTTCACGTACGTGGTAAAATTCACCTTCACGGATCAAAACAAAGTGATGTAATGTTTTGGTACTTGATTGACAATCAAATAAACCACGGCTCTAAATTTGATTGGATAAAACACCTGTTTCCGAGCAACAGGCGGAGAAACATTCTTTTTGGGAACCAATCAGGAACTGATAATGGTCAGTACGTACTCAGTGACGTAGTTTTGGCGCGAAGGTGTAACCACATGACAATCACATGATGATGACACAGCAGCGCTTCCGGATGTGTTCAAAGTGGGGCCCTCTTCCAAATATAGTTGGGGCTTGGAAATGAATACTTAAAAGGGCCTACTCAGTCCCAGACGCTCAGCGACCAAAGGGGACGAGAATGAGACTGGTGATGAAAATATTCATAAGGGCCTGCGCAGGCGTGGAGGCTAATTTGAATGGTTCGAAAATGTGAAAGGAATATTGAACAAAAACAATTGAGTGTCTCTAGTATTTTTGTACCCTTAGCTTACTTGATGCCCTAAACATTGGTAAAGGATGTGTCTTGAAAGGAAAATCGTGAAGATGGACGTCTGTGTGAAGAAAAATAGGTAGAACTACCAACAAATTAACGTGACTTTTTGGCATGGATTTGACATTTTGTTAGACGCGAAAACGTTTTGATAAGTGACAATATGGTTCGTCTTGTAATCAAAAGCTAGTATTGGACTTCATGGATTCTTGAAGCTCACGAGTCTGAGGAAGAAGAATATCGATGGACGACGTTAAAGTGGAAAATGTCCCGTACAATGTGATACCTGTGACAGAATATGATCCTTTTGAGGTACGTAAGTATGCCAGAATTGTAAGTTACTATAAAATCATGTCCACACGCTACAAGAGCGATTTTGTGGCTTCTGGCAAATTATGTATTATTAATGAAGAACTTCACGCAAATCCATGTTTTAAATACAGTGTCAAACGTAACGAAGTCACAGCAGGGATATCCATTGCAACACTTCCTGTTGTTAAATTGTTTCCCCTTGTACGTTTAAATTAATCGACAGTTGAAGTGTTTTCAAATTTGTTGAGTCCTGTGGATCTCAGACGTACCGTAGTCGTGATAAGATTATCAAATGATCCGTTTCCATTACTTAAGGAAACATGTGGGATGATTAATATTGTGATCAATTTGCATTTAGATTAAATTTAAGCATGTAAACATTCTTAGACAAGTTAATAAATTAAAACCAAACTTGCGAAGGGTTCTTGCTGTGTAAAGGGGTTCTTAACATCAGTACAGTATGAAAAAAATGGCAAAAATACAGTCTACAAAATAAGTTGTCACAGTTTGAAATAAAGTTTTACAGATTGTACTAGAACAATTTCTGTCAGTTTTGGTCGGCTCTAATTGAGGTTTTTTAAGGAATATTTCACTTAATTGCACATTGATATTAGCATGTCGAATGGTTAGCACAAGTGTCAACGATACAGCATGGCTTCATCTCATACTGTGATAGGCCCAGGGATGTACAGAAATAAGGCAATAAAGTTTTGGAAAAACTCTCACTGTGACTCTTTTGGAGGAGATTATGGCAGTAGTGTCATTGCCATGTACTTAAGACTAAGTAGAAATACAAATTGTGTTGTTCCAGAAAATATCCATACCCACCCCAAGGAAGGTTAACAGAAATTTCAAGGGGGAGGGAGGTTTCAAAAGCCCAATTTTTTAAAGGAAAGTATGGCACTAAAATGGAATTTCCAGAGGGGTGGGGTGGGAGGGGTTTCAAGCTAAAAACCTACCGTGGGAGGGATATGGATATTTTCTAGAACAACACATTGTATATTTACAACAATAATTAATGAAAAGAAAGTCATATAAAAAGTAGTTCAATTTTTTTCTTGCAAAACACTGAATTATAATCACTAAATAAAAGTCAGTGTTCTAATATTGTACAGATCACTTCCTGAATTAACTTCCTACCATTATACACATGTAGGTTTATTTTTGCTCGGGCTGATATGTCATTATTTCAAGACATGCAACACGAGAATATAAATTATTACCAACGATACTGATGATAGATGTCTCATTTCGCTACACGTGCACATGTACATGTATTTTGTCAACAGGCGAAGTTTGCGGCTTCTCTTTACTGGTTAGTA